TCTGATCAGGAAGCACGGTACAGATGTAGGCATGAGTTTGTTTAGGCAAAACTATCATCATGTTGTACACGCTCTGTCACCTACATTTCTCACTTAATGGACGCTCTGACCATCTCTCCATGGCATTAACTATGGATCTTCATCATCATTTTTATGAGAGTTCCTATTTGCTTTCCTTGTGGTTCTGGACTTGTATGGTGAGCCTGTTCTTATTGGTTGAGTGAGTGACCAGAAACATCCGGTCCGATCCCCAAGGGGCATTCCCTAAAGCCAAGTGAGCCTGGGGCTTATCAGAGACCTCACAGTTGGCTGTCAATCATTCAAGACTGAATTTGGTATTGGCTTGCGGAGCTCCATAGTCATATCTAGGGACACACATCAGACACCCCAAGTGCAGCCTTTGAAGGTGGATCTGGCCCACGCAGAACCCTAAATGGCCTAGGGCTTTTCACCAAAGGTGATACAGAGAAAAAAAAATTAAATGAAGACTCCGAATATTTCATGGGTTCCCTCTTCTCTGCTTGAGGCAGAATCCCAGGGGGCCCAGCCAAAGCTCCCTTAGATGCTTCTCTGATGTGGAATAGTTAGAGCCAGCAGGAGGCTGACCTCCCACACTTTAGTTAAAACAAAGTAAGCTCCGAGCTCAGCAAATACTGTCCACAAAGGAAGCGAGGCAGGGGCAACCTCCACTATGAAATATGGACCTGGGAGCTGATGCACCAGGTGTACAGAAGAATAATCACGTAGGAGACAGACACTGTGTTCACAGCCAGTGCCACTGCCAGAGGAGGTAGGCCAGGCCGGAGAGGACCCCCTGCCCCAGGGCGATCATGTCCATGCTGTAGGTGTTCACCAGCATCCGCCTCTCGGTTAGAATCCACTCCCTGGCTGGGGATGACAAACCTACCATTGCCGGAAATCAGCTCCACAGGCTCAGAGAGGTCAGCCTGGTCATCAGTGATGTAGTCTCCCAGTCAGTGTCCCAGCTGGCCTTTCCCCTGACAGATGGGGCTCATGGGTGGGCTTCTGACACCGACATTGGTCTTTTCCCTGCATCAGTGCCATGGTGGACAGTTTGTTCCAAGCAACTTCCGTTCTCTCATTTCATCCTCATAACAACTCTGTGCAGTAGTGTCTGTGCCGAGTCCCATTGCACACGCAGGAGACTGAGGTTGCTTGTCAAAAGTAACAGGTAGGCTGGGCATGGTGGCTCACGCCTGTAATCCCAGCACTTTTGGAGGCCAAGGTGGGAGGATCATTTGAAGTCAGGAGTTTGACACCAGCCTGGCCAACACGGTGGAACCCCATCTGTACCAAAAATACAAAAATTAGCCGGGCATGGTGGTACGCGCCTGTAATCCCAGCTATTTGGGAGGCTGAAGGAGGAAAATCACTTGAACCCGGGAGGCAGAGGTTGCAGTGAGCTGAGATCACGCCATTGCACTCCAGCCTGGATGACACAACGAGACTCCATCTCAAAAAAAAGTAACAGGTAAGTGGTGGAGCTGGGAATTTGAGCCTAGGGCCCTCAACCCACTACCTTAAAAGAGTAAAGATTTCTTCAAGTCTTCATGTGTGCCAAGCATTATTTTATAAATAGATGTGAGATAAGGAAGGTACTATCATAATCACCTCCATTTTATTGATGGAGAAACTGAGGCCCAGAAAGTTTAAGTAACATGTCCCAGGTCGCACAGCTGGTTAGTGAGGAGTTAGGGCTGGAACCACAGCTGCCCTGGGGTACTCACTGAGGAAGAGGCCAGTGAGGATGCTCCTGGTGAGCGTCAACCTGCTGAGGAAGCAGAGCATGGAGTGGGCTGCGAACATCGCTGTGGAGGTGCCCTCGGTGCCTGTGGGAACCACTAGCAGTGCTGCTCCGTGCAGCCATGTCCTGTGGCCACACCTGCAACTGAGATGGATTGGCCGTGCTGGGCCTGGGGACTGAACCCAGGGCCAGATGCTGCCAGGGCTCTCCCAGCCTTCTGCCTCCTCTTTGGGCCAGGGGTCGCTCTCTGGCTGCAAAGTGTCCCTAGCATCTGCATAGGGCTTTTGCCTGGCACTGCTCCCCTCTGCCTGTTCCTGAAGCATAGATGTCCCTGGTAGGGGACAGTGATGAGCATGCGGGCACCCCCTCCTAGCTACCGAGGCTCCTGTAGAAATGAGTTGGTCCCCTCCTTTCACTCTGGGCAGGGTGGGGGTGAGCACAGAGTCTGGGGCCGTTTCCTTGGCCTCTATTCTGATGAGGAAGACCTTTGATTGGCTGGCTTTTCCTGCCCCCAGCACAGTGGGTAGTCAGAGGCTGAGTGTCCCTGAGACCCAGCCATGGGGGACTGGGGCAGCTGGGATAGCTGAGGGAGCCCCTCAATCTTCCAGAAAAGACCCAAGGAGGCTAAGTTAATTTTTTAAAGTTTCATGGAAGGTTAGCAACAGAGGGGCCAGAGCCCAGCTCTTCTGACGTCCACTTAAATCTTCTCTCTAGCACGCCGGGATGACTCATTTGAGGGGCTGACAAAACCGAGGAGGTAGAGCCCAGTGCTGGCCTCCTGAGACACGGGCCCTGGCAGCTCCCGCTGCTTCAGCTGTAACCAGGATTAGCCATCCAGATGCGGTAGGATCCAGTCCTACGGGGTCCTGTGAGCCCCTCTCTGCTGGTGTGGAGATGAGAAACTGAAAATAAAGACACAAGACACAGAGGTCGAGAAAAGAGAGCCTGGGCCCAGGGGTCCACTGCCCACCAAAGTGCAGAGTCCGAGAGTGGCCCCGAGTGTCTGCACACTCTGACATTTATTGAGTACAAAGCTGGGGTCAGGGCAGGCAGGGCATGGCATTGGTGGTCAGTGATAGGGTCAGGTACATCACATGTCATATATGTAGGGGCCCAAGACTTTCAGGTGGCCGAGATGAGGTAAGGTGCATAATGCGTCAGCACTTTTTCCGTACTTGTCAAGAAAGAACAAAGGCATTAAGATTTACATTACTTTTACTGATTATCTCTTCTTAAAAAAAAGGAACCAGGTGCAGAAGCGGAACATGAGCGTGGACATGGAACGTGACCGCTGAAGCACAGCACCACATAGAGACAAGCCCCTGGATGTCTGCTGGCCTCCTGACAGCTGTCAGGCCTACCGCAAGAGCTTGGAGGAGCGGAGTTTTCTCCTCACTCCTCTGGGAAGGAGACATCTCTGACATCTCCTTCCACCGCTTGCTAAACAGCGGGCACTTCCCCAGCGCTGGCGCTGCCACATAGCCGAGGTACCCTCTAGCAGCCTTTATATGGGTGTGACAGAGGGCTTAAAGCATCTTGCCTTAGGGTCATTCCTTTCACAATGTCACCCCAGGTTCACACTTTTTGACCTGAGAGGCATTACTAAAAGAACTAAGATCACCTGTGAATAACTAAGATCACTTATGAATAACTGAGATCACATACAAATAACTAAGATCACATATGAATAACTACTATGGTTTTATTTCTAGTTACTTTCTTCTTCATTATTCCTATGGAAATAGGCTGAGGCTTCTGACTCTTGCCTTGGCACTCATGGGGTCTCCCACCCACAGATGCAGTGTCAGGCACACAGCTTCCTCCTCACAGAAAATCATCTGTGGGAAGTAAAAAAGTTCTTTTTTAAAGTTTCCTTTCTTGTTAAAGAATGTGTGCTAATAGCTTTGTTAAGCCCTATACTATGTAGCTGTCAGACATGCCATGCTTACAGCCACATAGTACATTCTATGTCCTTGTACTGTAACCAAGATACCTGTGCTGGACGTGCTCACAGGCATGGCCCAGCTCTCCATTGCTTTCACCTGTTTAGAAAAGTTTTAAGTTGTTAGCCAATCAGGTTTTAGTTTAAATTGTGAGGTCTGGCTCCAGCTAACTGAGATCAGCCACAGCTGTAAGGACGACCCCAAATGCCTAAGGGATAAATTCGTGTATTTTCTTTTTCTTTTTTTTTTTTTTTTTGGACGGAGTTTCGCTCTCGTTACCCAGGCTGGGGTGCAATGGTGCGATCTCGGCTCACTGCAACCTCCGCCTCCTGGGTTCAGGCAATTCTCCTGCCTCAGCCTCCGGAGTAGCTGGGATTACAGGCACGCGCCACCATGCCCAGCTAATGTTTTGTATTTTTAGTAGAGACGGGGTTTCACTGTGTTGACCAGGATGGTCTCGATCTCTTGACCTCGTGATCCACCCGCCTCGGCCTCCCAAAGTGCTGGGATTGCAGGCTTGAGCCACCGCGCCCGGCCAAATTTGTGTATTTTCTTTTGTTCATTGTACTCTTGTGGCATGATGGCTAGTGAGGGTACCCTTCCTGCAGTTCAGGAAGTAAAAATTGCATTACTAAAAAATCCTTTGCCTCAGTGCTAAGTTTTCTTTGCAGCACCAAGCATCTATTTCCAACACCATCATTACTTCCAAGGACATTGGTCCAATGTCCATGTTGGAAGCAGCGTTCTCTAAGACCGGTGGTGCAAAACCTCATTTCCTTATAGGTAAAATGGGAACCTACAAGGACTCCCATTATCGGTGCTCTATGAAGTTGGCCACTCACAATAACCAAACCGCAGTATCTCCCCTTCCTCAGGAAGCAAACTGTGGAGGCAACACTGCTGGTGAAATCACGCAGGTCTGCAGAAAATTGACTGTACGTGGGGCTTCGGCACCTTCTGCATGATAAAAGGCATTCTGCCACGTGACCCAGAACTCCGCAGCAAGCAAAAAATAATTTGGTATTAGTGACTTAAATTCATTTGAGAACAAAAAGGGGAGGTACCATCACTTCAGCTGCGACAGATGCATGCCTAGTGGACAGCATCCTAGAAACGCAGGGGACCAAGGACTCCAGAAGGATGGAGTGAGCACTCTACCCTCTGTTGAAGGAAGAAGGGAATGGGGACCTTCTGAGGGAGGATCCTGTGCCTCTGGGGATAGTGTGAGGATAGCGAGAGCAACCGCCTGGTCAGACACTTCTGGGCCTGCTTGGGCCTCCTTTCCTTACCTGTCACAGCAGACACCAAAGGCCGTAGCCCCCACCACCCGTCCCATCATGTATATGGACTTCAGTGATGTATTCGAACACCAGGTCCCACTGGAGGAGAAGAGAAGGAGGTGTCAGCCGACAGTCGCCATGCCTCACTGTGTGGGTCTATCCATAGCTGTGGGGTCCAGTGGTCCTGCTGTCATGAACATCAGCCATTTTATTTTATTAATTTTTTTTAGAAGGAGTCTCACTCTGTCACCCAGGCTGGAGTGTAGTGGCACCATCTCAGCTCACTGCAACCTCCACCTCCTGGATTCAAGTGATTCTCCTGCCTCAGCCTCCCTAGTACCTGGGATTACAGGCGCCCGCCACT